TTGCGGCCCAAAGCAGTTTGATGAACCAATTTCGTCTCACCCTTCAAATCTCTAGCATTTGGTTCCTCGATGTTGAACCACCTTCAGCAAAGATCTCCTAGCCCCCCGCCGCAGCAGCTACCTCATTACCCCCCTCTGTCGTAGCAGCTTCCGACCTCCCAACCCCCCAATGCAACAGCAACACCACCAGCAGGCGATTGTGACGTGGACGACTACATATTATAGTTTTTTTTTTTTAAATTATTTTCATTTTTTATAAATATTTCTTTCCTTTGTATATACACTTTCAATAATTTTTTAATTCAATAATCTTTTGTACATTTTTTGTTTTTAATATCATTAAATTAATTTATACATAAAACAATATTATCAACATTTAAAAGGAAAAAATAAATAAAAATTATTTTAAAAAATTAATTTTAAAATCTTAACGCAACAGCCTTATGTCCGTCGTGCAAGGGTCTGGGGGTCGAACCCCAGTTTCATCGCTTGGAATATCACTTCGTTGCTCTTTGTTTCATGCAACGACCACCAAGTTCGTCGCGCAACATTCATTTCGCGCGACGAAGCACTTTCCTCCGTCACGCAATGTCTAACATCACTAGCTTTGCGAAACAGAATTTGTGTGATGGCCTCTTCGCCACCCAATGTTTCCGAAGACCGTATTTGCCTTTGCGCAACGGTTGTCCATTCTTCACCCAAGCAGTTATGCTTAGTAGTGCTAATGACTGGAGCAAAGCAAAGGTCACAAACTTAACACTTTACGTTGTTCCAAAATCTTCACTGATTTTGTGCATAAACAAATGTAAGTAGATAAAAAAATTTAATGTTGTCATCGATTATATTATTTTTTCAACATTATCTAAAAAAATTTAAAATATTAACCCGACCAACTATTTTATCGAGCAAACAATATATCATTTTTAAATTTGATTTCATAGAATTGGCCCTCGTCGGGTCAAATTTATAACATTGTTTAATTTTGTGTAGAGTGACGAAATATTCTTCTCTTCGTTAGATCAATATAGTCAACGCACTCTTACCCATACGAGTTTATTGGTCGGCTAACTCTGTTTAGTCCAATGAACGGGCAAATTACAATTTCGTTGGATATGACTTTGGGCAACAGACTTTGCTCTACTAATCTTTTCCGACGAATTTGTGTTAGCTAAAAATTATGACGATGAAAATAGCTTTGACCTGAAAAAACTTTTTTGTTTGGCAAGGTGTTTTTTTTTTTTTTCGGATACTTTAGATGCGGTCGCTAATCTTTAACATTCTTTGATTAAAACCTTAATAATATTCAAAGTTTGATCAAAGTCCCTTGACTTTGTACACCTCATTATATTACTATTAATATTTATAGTTTTATAGTTTTGACATTAATTGTTTGATGTATTATGAGATTTATAATCCTATAAATTTAAAATCCCTCATTATAATACTATTAGAAACGGTTACTGTCACATCCCATCCCGAATATTTAATTTTCGACGATGTGAAATAACAGTTTTATCCTTGGACGTGGAAATTGTAGTGTGTATGTGTGACATATTATGAGACTTAGATGTTATTTTCTTGGTTTGTTGGTGACCACGTGGAACTCACACACAACATTCACCCTCTCTCTTCTCTCCCATGCTCTCTCCCTCGAACTCTCTCTCTCTCTCTCCTTCCCTCAATTACGGACGAGCACCAAACTCACACTCACGCACGGATCGATGTTCTAAAGGTGATATTCTTATTCCCTTAGAGCTCTTGAGTTTATATATGTCATTTTTAGGACTTGAAACCATGAAAAACCCGAGAAATCCTAACCCCGATTTTGTGCACTGTTCATGCACACGTAATTTTGAAGGTTTTAAGGAATGTGGAGCTTATAGGTAGCTTAAGGAGGTCCTCACGAGGCTTTGAGTGGTTCGTTGGAAGGATTTGGACGTCGGAATAGCGAGAACGGCGAGTTGCAGGTTTGGCCGGAATATCAAGGAGTTTTTCGTCGAATCTCGTGGGATTTAGGTCCTAAAACAGGTATGGGTTTGTTCTACTCTTCATAAGCTTCATTTTGAGACAAGTTTCATGCAATTTGGTTAAGAATTGAGAAAGATATAAGGTTTCAAAAATTAACCCAGAAACTGGCGAAGTCACTGGTGTTCAGCGACTCGTTGGAGAAGACGAAGGTATATTCCGTCAAAATTGACGGAATATGCTAACAGCGTTGGATGACGCCGTTAATAATTAACGGTATATGCCACTGTTTTAACAGAATATTCCCTAATGACGTCACTGCCACCGTTAGTGTGCCAGGCATGTGCCCACGCATGGCGGCGCGTGGGTGGTCGGAAATTTTTTCTAAAAATATGGGGATGTTTGTGGAGTTGTGTAGATCACATTGGTATATTCAAACACCCCATTTGAGCATTGTATGAGAAATTATTAGCTAGTTTTGTCTATATGCTTTTAACGTTTTTATAGTTAATTCGTATATAGGTGAGACTTATCCCGAGGACAAGCGCGTTCAAGGGTGACTCGGGGGCTACAACCGCTCGACATACCAGTGAATGGGTTTTTGGTTTTCAATATATATTTATATACTTGATATTTTCCCAGAAATATGTGTTTAAATGAAAGTATGCCTTAAATGCCATGCATATGAATTTATATGTCGTATATGAATTGGTATATGATGCATTATATATAATTGTGGTGATGTGGACGCTCAGGTAAGCTTAGGTTAGTTATGTTTGGTTATGTGAATTATTGGTGATGTGATATGTGATTGAATAACTTTGAGCTCATAAAACTGCACCTAGGGTGATTGTGATTTAGCCAGAGATATGGCATAGGCCTATTTATAATGTCACCTTCTGCACCATATGCTCATATTAGATCCAATTTAGGTGCACAGTCTTGTCGTACAGACCTTATTTATGGTTCCAACTCGTAGGTGACTAGCGATTTATCGCCCAGATGTTATGTGAGAGTAGTATTGAGCATAATTATATTACACCCAGTATTGTCGTACAAACTTTTCACTTGGTTCCGACTCTTGTGCAGTATAGGTCATTGTAGTGACTCCGGCAAGATTGACTTTTGAGCTATGAATTCAGCCGTACAGACTACCACAGGGGTTCCGGCTAATATGTTACATTTCTATGAAGTTATTCTCACCTGAATTGCTTACTCTGTTATATCTTGGCATGGCATACATATGAATATGATTATGTAAAGTATGATTTGAATTGATATAATTATATAATATTTATGTATATGCTTATATTCTGATTGTGGGAAAAATTATACATGTTTTACAGTGAGGGGTTAGAAATGTTGATAAATGAAATGGTTTTGTAAAACATTTGTTTTTGCCCACTCACGTTTTCTGTTTTGCGCCCTTCCAGGTTTTAGGTAAATTTGCAGTTGCTGGGTGCGAGGACTTCGGTGGTTCTGACCTATCAAAATAATTGTAAGACATCTTATGGTATTGTATAATTAGTACTTATCCTATTGGACTGCACCTAGACTTTCTATGCTTTGATTAGGAGTATTTACTTTTGTATCTTACTCCTAACACTTCCTGTTTAATAGTGCACTCTAGTAGTTTTGGTTTTTAATTATTCATATATTTCTTATATTCATTGCTTCCGCATTGTGCACATGGCTACGTCACCGTCACGTGATGGCCAGCATGCCTTGATCTCGATCGAGGTGTGTCAGTTACAATAAAAAAAAATTCAAACATTTTGATTTAATAAATGGATAAAAACTAGATAAAAATAAGAAATAATAAATGGCAAAAGAATGTATCCATAGTGTTAAAAAATTGGTACATTTTACAAAAAAAAATAAGTACATTTCACATATAACAAAGTGGTACATTAATAAAGAAGAATGGGTACCTTATAAAACTAAAAGAAAATACTACAAATGAATTTTTAGGGTACAGATAAAAGATTAAAAAATTACGAGTACAAATGAATTTAAAAAAAAAATATAGGTGCTAAAAGAAATTAATACATGGGTACAAAATAAAACTAAAAAGAAAATACTACAAATTTAAAAAAAAATGTTGCAAATTAAAAGTGGGTACAAACTAAAAATATAAATATATGATACAAAGCTTAGGCATAAAACATAAATATACCATATGTAATTTTTCTATCATTGATTAAATATACAATATCACGTGACGGTATACACATGGGTACAAACACAAATAAAACTTTAAAAAATTGGGCACAAAAAGAAACTAATATATGGGTACAAACTAAAAATGAAAAGAAAATTGGTACAAATTAAAAAAATATTTGCAAATTAAAAATAGGTACAAACTAAAAATAAAAATATATGATAAAAATTTAGCCATAAATATAAATATACTAATTGTAACATTTTTAACACTAAATGAATATATTTAAAAATAAAAATATTTTATTATTTAAATAATTAATGATGTTATTAATACCCAAAGACCTTGATCAAAAATTGAAAATGAATAAGATTTTAAGCAATTGAGTAATAAAAAGAATGATGTAAACTAATTTTTTTTTTTTGTCCTGTAGTGAGGGCAAAACGACTAATATATCAACTTGGTGTTTACACGTCAAGTGGTAATAAAATATGAAATGGTGGTAAGGCTAGTTTATTTTTACATCATCGCCAAATAGTTCCGCACCGAAAGTTCTAATTGAAGCACTTGTATACGACGGACGTTGTAACAAAAATCAACTTCCCTGTACAATGTGACATGCTTGACAAAAAGAAAAAAAAAAATTTGTGAATCATGTAGGCTATGTTACGAATAATATTCAGTTTGTTTGGTGAATAAAGCAATACACATTTTGGAGATAATCAAATAGCAGTTTTCTAATACAGTTTTACTTCCCTCGTTATTTCTCATCTGCAATTATTTTAGATTATAGCAGTTTCTCGTAGAAAAGACTACCTATCAAACATAACCTGCAGGTAATGATCATAAAAAGTTTCAGATAGATAGCATTGTGCACAAAATGATAACTCTCAGTAAAAAATCCAGGAAATACACATAAACCATACACTGTTTTATTAGATAAGTAAGGAGATTGAAATTGCAGACACAAAATGCTTAATATTACATATTCAAAGCAAGTTAATCAAGAAACAGCAACACCAAGGCTCTATCTTTTCCAGAAACACTGATCAAATAGGAATGGCCCTATTGACCGATGGGTAAACAACGGTTGCCGGATGAGCCATGATTCTGCGACCCTTCATGTGCCTGAAGCAGTAAACAAGAGCCCCAACAGGCCACTCCACAATGGCAGCTCCAACAAATGCCAAAAACCCCAGGGTTGGCCCCACCACCTTGCACCTGCACGGGTTGCTCCTAGTCCCACACTGCACGCAGATTGGAATTCCACAAGCCATTGCTACAGATTAATGTCTAAATCCAAAGCAGGAGAATTGTAAAAACAAGGACAAAGTGGATCAATTTAAAACTTCCGAAGATCTATCGGTTTAGTTATTTTTTGTGTTGTGGTTGTTTGGAGTGGACACTAGGGCTTGGTTTTATAGGGGTCTTGATTTTAATTAAAGTAACTCGAACGCTTGGTTACCTGGCATTTCGTGACAAGGTTTGCGGAGATGACAGGAGGAGTTACGTGTTGCTTTAAGCAAATTCATGTCCGACACGTGTTCATATAGATGACGGTTTGGAAACGTGTCAGATCGCTACAACTGGTTGGTGCGGTCATTTATCCAACTTTGGTCCAATGAAACCAAGACAATATGGCGGTGTCGATGAGATTATTTCTGTTAGTAATTTCCTGGGGTATTTTAATCCCCTTCGCTTTGTGGATTATTGTTTAGGAAATTCGGGTGCAATCTGGGTGAATCCGAATTTGCTTTATACTAAACAAGAAACAACTCATTGTAACCGAATCCAAATCCGGATAGTCAGGGCTTTAGCCAGTATTTCAAGACAACTCAAGGTTGATGGAAACGGTCAAGACAAAGAAGATTGTAAGGGACATTAATTGAAACTTAAAGGCCATTTGTTATGGGGACTGCGCTTTTCATTCTTTCGTTCTAGCTTTCCATTCTACACTAGGTAAATTTATCCTTTTATTTGTTTATTGTTCTTATCGTTTAGTTTTAGTTTATTCAGTATCTCAATGTAGTAGTTTAAAATTTAGTTTCTCAAGTAGTTAATTTAGAATTTTAATTCTGTAGTTCAGATTGTTTTTTCAATTCAGTACTTTAGTTTATAATTTAAATCTTTATCAAAACCAATCCCCACGACTAGTTCCTTTGGATTGATGCAATTCACCATACACACTCACATTACCTATCGCACCATCGATAAACAAAAATTCATTTAATATTTATCATATCCATCATATGCAAGTGTCTCAATTTTAACGATTTCTCACCAATCAAAAGAACATTTGAATTCACCCATCTCGTCAAAAGACTCATAGTTGAAGATTAAGAACGTCTTTCAAGGTCGTTACATATAAGTCGCAGAGAAACCTTTAATCGGTACATGTTCCTTTCTCGGCCACATCTGTATTTGAAACAAGTTAGACCAAAGCGCAACTACAATCTTTACATGCTTGGCTTGAGGCCGCAAGTTGCACGCCGACAATAAATCAAGAAGGACCGAGAGATCCCCAACTTGATTGCCAAGCCTACAAATATTTCTCTTTGGGTAGTTCTAGGAAAACTAAATTTGTAGACATAATTTTCAAACTAAATAATGTGTCACCAATATAAATGAGCACGTTGAACAATGTTTAAGTAATAATTAAATCATTGACTTCTATGTCATTTAGTTTACCAAGTTTTGTCTACAAATTTAGTCTGACTAACATTACTCTTTCTATATACTAAGCTTTTTTTAAGTATAACCATATATATATACGTGTTGACCCTAAAAACTACCAAGCCTACATGGCGCACATGCCGAGTAATTAATAAGCTAATTATGTCCTTCGGTTATGTGCGGGGCATGCCAACTCGCCGGCCGGATTCGGCCAGGGAGTAAAATATGTTGATGTGGCGTTGGGTGCGTTGCTGACTTCTTAATCTTGCGACTGCAGCTGAGGAAGGAACACGTCTCGGCCTTCGAGTTCTAGAGCCTGAAGACAAGGCTGCTTGTTCTATGAAGTTCAATTTCAAATTCGGCTTTCAATGTGCCGAATATAGTAATCTCGAAGCAGTGCTGTCTATCCAAACTGAATGTGTGTTGGCGAGAAGAAAGGGGGAAAGGAAAACAATCTCAGGGTTGTTGAGAACCTTTGCGTAGGGCAATTTATGTGTTGATTTGAAGGGGCCTTTCTGTCGCAGAATGCCTTGTATTTATAGAAAACTTGCTTGATATGTCGTACTATTATAAGATCTGACTCTTGAAACACTATCCTGATGTTAGACATATCAAAGCACTGACCTTCTTCCGCACGTTGCTAATCTGCATGTATTTGAAATTAACCTTGAAATATCCTTGAGATAATTCTCATATGCAGATGCATTAATCTTCCATGTGGAAGCCATAGAATGCTTCCTTTGATTGTTAATTATCTCATCAGTGCAAACCAATTGCAGCCATTTACAAAAAATGTAATCATTATCCTCCATCATCTTTATATTCGTGCATGCATTAATCATTCTGCTAATTAATATCCATTTGCCAACCAACACCACCATGCATTAGGACTCTTGTCATAATACTCTAATGTTCCAATCCAAACGTCTAAATGCCGAGAATCACAAATCAAGTTGAACTGTATTGCTCGCTTTCAAGTTGGAGCAATGACTTGTATCCTATTTATCTTGTACAAGAAAATTAAGATAATTCATCCAAAGATACTTATTATGATTAAAAATCATAACATTATCTCTTAACAACAAAATTGTCTTACCTTTCTCATCCAACAGTCTAGAACTCTACTAATTCAACGGCCTCAATTGCACGAACCGATGGTGTAATTTTGGGTCCAAACAATACGAAAACATACTACGTATATTGTTACCACACTTGTACGATTTATGTTTTCATGAGATACCCTCGATTTACAATTGTTTTTCCTCTATATGTTTCTATATAACCCTAAATCGAGGGTATCTCATCAAAACATAAATCGTACAGGTGTAGTAACAATACAACAAGTACTCATCAGTAGTACTGCATCACACATGCCCTTGCCGAGCCGAACTAACTCAAGGCATGGACAAGATGAATGTCACAATATTACTAGGGCACATTCACATAACATGTCCTCACTGACGTAACTCAAAGCAAGGACAAGCCAGTGTGGAGCGTAAAATAATTCAAATTTTTTGGAATTGACACATGAATTTTCAATTGACGAGAATGTCCTTATTAAATTAGCAAGGCCCATATTCGTTCCGCTTGCAATTTAGACTTGAACTGCTAACTATAATTTCTCAAAGCTCTTCTGCTCATGCCAAGGAGAAAATTCAAAAGAAGTAAAAGATAAAATTAATATATAACCAATATCCTATCTTTAAGCTTTTTCCTTATTGAAGACCAACTCAATGAAGCAAAAAATTACAATCAAATCCAATAAAGAATTCTATGAGATAATCCCAAGACATTATTAATTAAATAATATCATTAGAATAATTTTGTCCTTCATCCAACGGATGATACACCTTGGCCAACTAGATATCGATACCTGGCATAGAAAACCTATTGGGTTGTGGACTACTTTAGTCCACATATACGGAAGTGTGGCAATGTGATGTAAGCATATATAATCAAATTTACATGCATGGTTAACAAAACTTTGGATTCCGTTTAATCTTATTAAATTAATCAACGTGATCTAGGTTAATCAACATGCTTGTTTTCATGTAAAACAATTTAAGAACACGTGCATAAACTTAAATTAGTTGAGAATTCCAACATTTAAATTTGATATGAAGATGAATTCTTTTTGTGGCTCTCAAGTGTTAGCCCTCTACTAGTATCCACATGAATAATTCTTCAATTGGTGAAGTAGGAAGACGACGAACTGCTAGGTCCTTCTTCTCCAATAAGTGTGGCGGCAAGGGTAGGGTTGTGTGGTGTTTTGTTGTTTAATTTCTCTAAATTAGAAAATATAATTCCGTTCTCTTTAAATTTTTATTTTACATATGTAAAATCTACACCAACTAAAGCTGGAATTGGACAATTTAATCCTCTTTCATTTAAGACTGTGCTTCTTTATTTTATTTTAGTTCATTAACCAACAATAGATAGAAGACCCAAACCAGTTAATTAATAGAAAAACAAAAAAACATAGTATAAACCATTTATATCAAATTCAACCTTCATCAATTTTATTTTTCGATATTATTCTATTGTGTGTGATCTTATGGATTCCAACTAAAGCTGGCAATGGATAATTTGATTAATCAAATTAATCTAGTTTTACATCATTAGAAACCATTCTAATTCAAAGTTGTAGGATTATCCACAAACCAAATAATAACACCAATGACTTTCGGCTACCAAGATTAGTAAGAATATGTTGAATTCATACAACATATTATATTCCAATCATATATTTTAGAGCATGGAACATTTGTCAAACTGTAGCATGAATATGATCACTCTGATGTATATCTCGTATTTTGCTTTGGCTAAGAACTTTTGAAAATAGATCATCAAAGAGCTTGTGAGATATTAACTTTCATGATTACTTAGAAGGTGACAGATTCCTTGTTATGCATTCATGTATCTACATAAGAAAGTTCATCTGTTTTTTATTCATATATATGCAGGCATGTGAAAAAATGGACGTGAAATCTCAACAACTATACACTTTAGAGAAAAACCCTTCAAAATCATGACTCAATACTTTAGGAATAATAATAAATTTGTTTAATTTGTGACTAGAAAAGGGAAGTAAAGAAATTTGTGCTAATTGCATTTTACACGCTACATATTTCAGTTATTTTCAAAATGGACTAAAAGGTTTCAATCTCAGCATTTTACATCTAAATGTTTTTGTTTTTAATTTTTAAAATTGGTTCAATGGTTTTAAATCGAAACAAGCAATGCAAGTGGTGGATTACTTTGGTGGTTAGAGCTTTTCTTTTTGTATCTTGGGTTCAAACTCTTCTCATTCCCTTTTAATTTGGAATAAGTGTAGATTATTCCTGGTTCAAATTCTTTACATTCTCCTTAATATAGAGTAAGTATTATTTGTAATCAGAAAATGAAGCAAACAAATGAAAATAAAAACACATAAAAAATGAACCATGGATAAGAACACAGATGAAATTGATATCAATAAATATAGACTCGAAAAGACAAAGGAAGGACGTGGAAAACGATAGAGAAGCAAAAGGAAATAATTTCAACAATTAACAAAAAAAAGAAAAGAAAAAGGAAACACATAAAATAGAGTATATTTTGACGTGGCCTAGTAATAAAGGCCATTATTCTGTGGCCTGATTTTCTAAAAGGCAGACAGCTGTTTTGGCCCAAAAAATAAGGGATTTTAACTTTTGATTCTTGAAGACAATTGAAA